ATCCACGGTTCCCGCAACAGCTGTGCTTAAATCAGCTCCATATGTGGAACAGCAATGGCTCAAATGTTTGTCGAGTCTTTCACGAGACTTTCAGAAGTAAAATTATGCACGGCCAAATTTAGTGACACTTTAAATGCAATACATGATTACAAAAAAAAAATAGATTTCTTTAAAGGGTTTGGAGCCCTTAGTTATTTTAAGTTATTTTAAAGAAGTACAATTTTAAGTTTTAATGTGCATTATTAGTTGTGAGAATAAGTGCTCAAGGAAAACTCAAAACACTGTTAAAAATAAATAAGTAAAAATTTGCATAAATAGGTTTTGTACAAAAGTCACAGTTTCAGGAGTAAAATCACAACATTATGAGATTTAAGTAATACAATTTTGAGAATAAAATAAAAATAAGTTGTAATATTATGAGAATAACATTAAAAGTCATAAGAGAGTTGTAAGTCGTAAAACCATAAAAAAATAATCTGTCATAACCAACTTTTCTAATTTTCATTTAGGTTAATTTGATGTACTAAAATAAAAAATATATATATATATATATAATATAAAATGAGTTTAAAAAAGAAATAGAGTTTAAACGACAAAAATACAAAACTACTAAAAGTGTAACTAAAATTAAAATGAAAAATGCAAAAATAAAAACAAATTCAAAGTATTAATAAAAATTACAATACTATCTCAATGATACTAAAATAACACCAAATCTAGTCACTTATTTAATAAAATATTTTTTCATTTTTTATCTAATTTTATAATGTACCAATATAACGTACAATATATCAATTTAAAAGCGTATTTGTGTAAATATAGGTTCTGGATGTCTGGAAACGTCAGTCATCTGGATTTTTTTGTCAGGTTTATTGTCGGCCAGGTGAAAATCTCAGTCTGATCGCTAGATATGATTCATGTCCGTAACACACATGTTTTGCGCGCATGAGAAAGATAAGTATGAGCAACAATAACAGCCATGCTTGTTTAAGCAAGCAGCGCTAATAAAGAAAGAAAGGAGTGTGTAAAGATCAGGCAGGTCATCTCGCCGCGGGTTCAGAGCTCAGTTACAGAGCCTGCAGCTGGAATCTCCTCAGATGAGCTACAAGCCTCTGCAAGCCTCGCAGATGAGAGTCAGAGCAGCACTGACACCTCAGGAGCTTCAGTCACTCCCTCACCACCCATCCGCTTCTGCTGATAAATCAGAGCAGTTTGCTTTGACTGAGTATTACTGCAGAAGAACATCTGTGTTGTAAACGGATAATACTATAGCATTATCACCACTCCATAAGAGAGTCATTTCCAGAGGATTCTGATCAAACCAGACTCGTTTCACTCTTACAGATGATCTCAGTCTGTGCTTTAAAGGAGTAATTCAACCAACAATGAAAATTAGCTGGAAATATGCTCGCCCTCAGCTCATCCCAGATGAGTTAGTTTCTTCATCAGATTTGGAGAAATGTAGCATTGCGTCTCTTGCTCACCATTGGAGTGAATGGGTGCCGTCAGAATAAGAGTCCAAACAGCTGATAAAAACATCACAATAATCTACAAGTAATCCACAGCACTCCAGTCCATCAGTTAACATCTGGAGAAGACAAAAGCTGAAACTAATCCAGCATTAAGACGTTTTTAATGTCTAAAATACATTGAGTCCATAATCCATAATAACTCTTCCTCCAGTGAGTCAGTGTTCTGGTGTGAATCAGGAGAGAAATCTGCACAGATCAAGCAGCGTTTAAACAGCTCTAAACTAATATGTGGCTGGATTCTGATGTGAGAGACAACAGCAGATGCACTTCTTCACTGGTGAAACTAATCCAGCATTAAGACGTTTTTAATGTCTAAAATACATTGAGTCCATAATCCATAATAACTCTTCCTCCAGTGAAGAAGTGCATCTGCTGTTGTCTCTCACATCAGAATCCAGCCACATATTAGTTTAGAGCTGTTTAAACGCTGCTTGATCTGTGCAGATTTCTCTCCTGATTCACACCAGAACACTGACTCACTGGAGGAAGAGTTATTATGGATTATAGACACATATTTCTTGCTGGATTTGTTTCTTGTGTCTTCTCCAGATGTTAACTGATGGACTGGAGTGCTGTGGATTATTGTGATGTTTTTATCAGCTGTTTGGACTCTCGTTCTGACGGCACCCATTCACTCCAATGGTGAGCAAGTGATGCAATGCTGCATTTCTCCAAACCTGATAAAGAAACAAACTAATCCTAATCTTGGAAAGCCTGAAGGTGAGCACATTTTCAGTTAATCTTCATTTTTGGGTGATCTATTCCTTTAAGTGAACAGCTCCACCCAGAAGAGAGGAGTATTTTGTCCAAAGCAACACATAAACCCAGGGATTCAAAGTTCTGGTGTTGTTCTGGCGAGACTCTTTTATCAAGCAGTGAAACATCCTTCCAGAGGAAGTTTTTATTGCTCACAGGTCACTCTTTCATAGTTCAGGAGACCTAAAGACCTGCGAAAGAGCCACTGCCTTTCCTGTTTTGACAGGACGTTTTTCCCTGATTTTTCTGGGATGGGACATTCAGTCAAGGCCTTTTCGCTTTTTTGTAAATAGCTAATAAACTTTAGTTCACAATCATATGCATTTATTCAAAACAACTTTTAATGTCGAGTGTAATAACCAATTCATCCAAATTAGGCAGTAACATGAGAAAGGCTAAAAAACAAACCGCCGAAATGAATCCAAGAATCCTGAAAAATAAAATGCATCACAGTTTCCACAAACGTGTTCAACACTGATAATAATCAGAAATGTTTCTCGAGCAGCAGATCAGCATATTATACTGATTTCTGAAGATCATGTGACACTGAAGACTGGAGGAATGATGCTGGAAATACAGCTGTTTTACATTGTAATAATATTTCACATTACTGTTTTTACTGTATTTTTTATCAAATAAATTCAACCTAGATGAGCAGAAGGGACTTCTTTCCAACCACAAAAAAATCTTACCGACCACTACCTTTTCAACAGTTGTGTATCAAAACAAAACAAAGAAATCAGACATACTGAAGTAAATCACATACTGCAGCTCATATAATTTGATCATTCGAGATTTTGAAATCAAAATTTGAATGAAATCTGGTGTGTTTAAATCCGAGCTCAGTTTGAGACATAATTGAGATTTCTCATGAAACTCTTCTTTGTGTTAATTAATTATGGTCTTTTCCTCATGAGAACAAAAATCTCAGTTTGTCTCCATTTAACCCCATTCTCTATCAGTCTAGGTGCTAAGTGTGATATCAGAGAGATATTTGGCTCACATGTTGAATCTGATGAGGTACGAGCTGAACTAATGAGCTGATGACACACTGAGGAATGCTGGGAACTCAGCGGAGCCTCATTCCTCCCTCGGTGAGCATTCGGTGCAGCGCAGAGCCTCTGTAAACGTCAGAACTCACAGAACTAGCAGCTGAAGAAGCAACACAGATGTTTCTGAATAAAAACCAAAGACACACACACCTTAAAACCAGCGTGTGTGGAGCTGAGATCATATGGGACTCATTCTGGAGGAATCACGAGGCTCGACCGTCTCAGGGTCTCAAACTCGCCGTATATTACTCACGATATTCAGCCGGAGGCCTCAAAGCTGTAATTACTCTCAGCGAGCTGCTTGATCGCTCAGACTCGTCTGTAATTCCTACAGCAATGATGTGAACTGTCACTTTGAAGTGTGTCATTTATTGAGATTATCAAGATTAAATATCAAGATTAAAACTTTGTTCAATTTGTCCAAGAAACTGAGCCTCCCTGTGTGTGTCCAGTGACCTAATACACATTTAAATTATACAACTTTGATATATTATTTATTGTTGAAAGGTTTACTCACATTGACCATATTAATGGAAATTTCAAAGAATTTAATATAAAATTTTTATTTTATTTTTAAATGTTTGTTTAGCCGATTTCCATCTATTCATGACCATTATATTTCAACCGATTATATACAGTAAAAAAATACAATTTTGTTTTTGTTGGCATACAATCAAAATTTGTTGTTATTGTTTTAAATAACTTTTTTTGTTTTGTCCTTGCACCTGTTCTTCAACCCTGTTTTGCTATAATATTTCCACCTTAATAATAATAATAATAGTAAATATAAAAATATACGAAGATACTGTACATGAATAAATAAATAAAGTTTTAAAAGAGCAGGGTCATGTGTTATTAATCTATAATTTATCAACGATGTATTTATTATTAAAATGCCCAAACTGAATGATGATATCAAAATTTATCGAAGTTATCTAGTTAAACTGTATGAATAAATTAGTGTTATTTTAGTATCATTGCTATTCTATTTTGTTAATATTTTAAATTAGATTTTACTTTTAAAGCGTCTGTTTTCATTTTAATTTTAATAATTTTTTTGATGTGTTTTGTGATTGATTGATTTATTTTGTATTGTTTTTTTTAATATGTGTATATCGCTTTTTATTAAGTTTCAGTTTTGAGTTTATTTATTTAGTTTTAGTTCTACATAAAAAGAAGAAATTTTGACTTGGCAACTATCTGAAATAAAATAAGTAATAACAAACAAATATAATAATTTAAGTTTTTATATATATTATTTCAGCTAAGATTTATTGTAATGATCGTGTCTTTTTTATGGTTTTAGTTTTAGTTCATGTAACACTGGTATAAGTTCTAAATTTAATTTTAATTTACTTAATTCTAAACCTATATTTGTTGGCCACTGATCTGAATATCTACAATATCCTACAATATCTACGGCAGGTAAGACCTTGTTTCTCGGTTCTGAGTCGGCAAAATATTCTGTCAAAGTGTAACAGTAACCATTTCAAATCAAAGAAAATGATATCTTCAAAAAAAGTGTTTGGGAACCTGCTTGGATTACTGTAGCGACTCCAGTCCTGCAGAAATCACACACTTATACAGTCAACTCCTGAAAAGATGGAAAGCAAGTCATTACACGAGGAACATTCACCGCTGAAGGGTCTCAGAGACTCACCCTGCATCGTTGTCTTTGTCGGCTCGGCGAAGAGTGGGACGAGTAAGAGGAAGATGAGGTAGACGAAGGACAGCCAGTTGTACCGGAACAAACATGCTGTGAAATAAAGAAGAACAGGAGAAAATGATGAGTGTGTTTGTCTTCTGTCTCCAGACTGTGATAACAGCACATAAATCAGACGCTGGTTCTAGTAGAGTCTGTAATTAAAGAGAACGCTCTTCATTCATTAAAGGACTGTGATTTGGTGCATGCAGCCGCAGGGCTCGGGGTTTGTGAGCGAACATGAATCCTGTCAAACAGAGCATTCCAGCAGATCCACTTCAGATCACCGCAGACACGTCAGGCCCAGCACAAAGAGCGTTCAAAATATGACATTTACCATTCAATTAACTGTCTGCTTCAAGTAAGTGAAATAAAGGAATTGAATGTAAAAGGATTTGCAGCATAGCTTGAAAAGAGCTGTTTTGTGGATGCCACTTTGTGTGATATTTTGATATCTAATGCAGGGAAATGTATTCGTTTTTGTAAAGTATAAATATCAAAATAATTTGCTGATGGAGAATGAATGGACAGAGGGAATAAAATAAAATACAATAAATTGTTTTAACTGTACAGTGCAACCTCTTCTCCATTCCCTCATGGACTAAACCTGAGCGCAAGAAAAACGCCGTCTCCGGCTACACAAACCAAAGGGATTCGACACTTGAACGATCATCTCAAGATCCCATGAAAGAAGTATTTGACTTTAATGATCATAATGCCTTTCGATGACTACGAAAGACTGGATGAACCTCATGAAAAATGACATTTCACCCCAAAAGTCAAGAAGTATAAGAAATCATATGGTGCATGAAAAAAAATTAAGCCTTTTTTTAGGACCATTAAGACTGTATGCCTTAAAGACAGACCGACCGACGATAGATGATAGACAGACAGACAGACAGAGAGATAGATAGATAATACCAGACAATACCCTCTACTAATGCGCATTGAGAAAAGAGCCATCATCTTATTACTTTACAAAAAAAAAAAAAAATTTAAAAACTTTAAAAAAAAAAAAAAAAAGGTAAAGGGATAGAATTACAATCCCATGATGCAAATTACATAAATTAAAAATGGTGTAAAAATATCAAATAATTGATTTAAAAATGGTTAAAGATACTAATGAGACATTTCATGTAATTTACAGTAAAATGCTGGTAAAAGCTAAGTTTGTGGAAGTGAAAAAGAACAAGTCATCAGTTTACAGTGAAACGCCAAATTCTGGACATTCCCAGAATTCCCTGTGTTTAAAATGTTTTTTATTTTTATTTTATTTTATTTTTTTGTAAATTACAGTTAACTGTAAAAATTACAGATTGTTTTGAAAACATTTTTGCTGTCTTTTTACAGAATGATTCTGTCAACCACAGCTGCCAGTTTATTTGTTGTTAGTTTTGTTTTTTTATGTAAAAACAACCGTTTTTTTCTTTAATAACTGAATTAAATTGAATTTTGTTTTATTCTATGTATTACAATTGTTATTGTTATTATTATTATTTATTTAGCAGTGTGGAAACAATATATTTTGCATTTATTTCAAAATATGCATATTATGTATATAAATATTTAAGTAACGGAGACTGAATGCTGAGACTGTCCAATCAGAATCAAGTATTAAGCCACGTAAAAAATGTTTTATAACTGTGGTTTCAATTGTTAATGAAAAATAGCGAATTACACACTGCAGGCTTTATGGATACCTTTATAACGCACAAAGCCATTTAGAAAGCATTGACTGGTTTCGTGTAAATTGTTTCGCTGTATTTTGTTCGCAGGACGCGGTTCTAATGTTAAGCGTGGTGAACGAAAATATGAATCCATGCTGGGATCTGGCATAAGCGTTTTATTTGCTTATCTGTGGGAATTAAATGTCCCAGCATTCCTGGCAAAGACTTTTACACCTAACCTAAATAACACCTCTCTCTCTCTCACACACACACACACACACACACACACACGCTTCCTTGACTCCTTTTACACCAGTAACTGTATATTATTTCTTCAGCTCTGTTTACACTTGGACTGAAAAGCCTCAGTTTGGCACATCGCTAAGAGCTTATCTGTTTCAGCTGGGGTTATTAATAATAATAATAAAAAATACATTACTTGAAACATAATAAGCACTAACTGAATTTAAATGAAATATAATAAGCTTTGTATTTCAGCTTTTTGCTACAATAACTAAAACAGAAATAAAAATAAATGATAACACTTTATAACAATTCTTGCTACTTTCACAAATTGCTAATCAGCCAATCACATGGCAGCAACTCAATGCATTTAGGCATCTAGACGTGGTGAAGACGACTTGCTGAAGTTCAAAGCGAGCATCAGAATTGGGAAGAAAGGGGATTTAAGTGACTTTGAACGTGGGAGGGTTGTTGGTGCCAGACGGGCTGGTCTGAGTATTTAAAAAACTGCTGATCTACTGGGGTTTTCACGCACAACCATCTCTAGGGTTTACAGAGAATGGTCCGAAAAAGAGAAAATATCCAGTGAGCAGCAGTTGTGTGGACGACCAACACCTTGTTGAATCTATGCCACGAAGAATTAAGGCAGTTCTGAAGGCAAAAGGGGGTCCAACCCGGTACTAGCAAGGTGTACCTAATAAAGTGGCCAGTGAGTGTAAAGCAAACATAGCCCGAGTCATCACATTTATAAGAAACCATAATGAGAGTGCAGATACAGAGAAGCAATACTTGGAGATTTATTCATGAATAACACAACTCTGCAGAAGGGGAACTCTTAAAAATAACGCTGCTTAAAAGGTTGTTCACAGCGATGCCATAGAAGAACCATTTTTTGGTTCCACAAAGAACCATTCAGTCAAAGAACCATCTCTTTCTTAGCTTTTTATAATCTGAAGAAGCTTCTTTCACCACGAAGGAGCTTTTGTGAAACTGAAAGGTTCTTCAGATGTTAAAGTTCTTTATGGAACCATTCAGACAAAAAGGTCCTCCTTTGTGAATAAGTGAATAATGAACTTTAAAGTATGGTTGTGCTAACAGTTCATTGAAATTAAATTCCTAATAAATATTCATTTAATTTAAGGTATTATGTGAAAAATAAATCTTAATATCTTACACAATTTATCTTGTTTTAAGTATGGTTACATCAGTGTTATTTTAGTATGATTGTAGATCATAGATTTCGTTTTTTTATATATATTGATTTTTATATTTTTATATATATTTTAATTTATATTTTCCATTTTAGCATTTTTAGTCATATTGGTTTTGCATTAGTTTAATTGTATTATATTTATTTTTATTTCAGTTTTTTTTTGTGATTTGATTTCAGTTAACGTTTATTTTATTTCAAGCATTTTTTTTGTTTAGTTTTAGTTACCTATAATAACTGAGGTTAACATTTTACTGGTAAGCAAGACAAAAGTGCTGATTAAAAGTATATTTTTGTGTTGTAAAACCGTGGATGTCTATAGAAAGTTGATGAAATGGCACTGAAAAACAGAAGCAAGCTTTGGTTTGGTCTCGTCCGTGCACACATGAGCAGTGAAGGTCCAGCGTGTTTGTTTTGTCTGCAGATGAGCTCCATTGTTAACCTTCGGCGTCCGCTCGTCACTTCACACCACCCACAAACACAGCAGGTACACAGCTGTCCCAAACTCCAGCAAACCACGCTCCACGCTCCAGCTTCACTGCTACACTCTTACAAACAAAGCTGCTTCACAGTGATGCCACGGAAGAACCTTTTTGTCTGAATGGTTCCATAAAGAAGCTTTAACATCTGAAGAACCTTTCTATTTCACAAATGCTTCTTTGTGGCAAAAGAAGCTTCTTCAGATTATAAAAAGCTAAGAAAGAGATGGTTCTTTGACTGAATGGTTCTTTGTGGAACCAAAAAAAGTTTTTTCTATGGCATTGCTGTGAACAACCTTTTAAGCAGCTTTATTTTTAAGAGTGTAACTGTTCAAAACATCCAGTTATTTACATGTTTTAAAAACTAAAACCTCACATCACTTGCATTTTATTATTATTATGTGAAAGCATTCATTTTGACAGATTCAGTTTTAGTCATAGCCTTTTGACTAAAATAGCATTTAGTTTTAGTCATATTTCAGTCAACTGAATTGCTTTAGTTTTAGTCGACTGATTTAGACGGGTTTAATTAAATTGTTATTAATTAAGCATTTCTCTAAAACGTCCAAACTCATGTACTCGTGTATATAATCGACAATACCTATATAATTGACAGTTTTTTTGGATGGATATGTCCAAATATGCTTTATACACACACACACTCTCTCTCACACACACACACACACACACACACACACACACACACACACACACACAAACACACACACACGCACACACACACAAACACACATTCATGTATGTATGGGCTAGATATACATATATGTTTCATATACTGTGTTTTTACTTCATATGACAATATATTTGCAAATGAAATATATGTACATATATTACATCTGTGTATGGAAAAATTTAAGAACTGCCTTATTTGAGTGTAAATGTACCGAAATTTATATTTTAACATCAAAAAAGTCACTCAAACTAGAAGAAAATGATGAAATAAAATCCCAAATGGAGCGGTAAGGAAGGTTGCATTAGTCTAGAGAAACGATCAGACTCAGGACTCTCAGATGTTCAGCGGCAGAGAACAGAGAGCTTGGCTCGGGTAACAATGCTGTGCTCTTTCTTCTGTGAGGTGTGAAGTACAGCGGGCTGAGAGACGCTCTGAGTTTAGTTCTTGCTCGGCCAGCGTTGCACAAAAGGTCCTCTCACGTAGTCGAATGTATTTCAGAGAGTGAGCTGTCAGATTACAGACAAGAAGCGTTTAAGATAAAACTCCATGAATAGTCCTACTATGCAGCGCGAGAAGAAAAAGCAACACCCAGAAGGTCAGAGCGTATTTAATATAAAACTGGCTTTGGACCATTTCAAACCACGCTGTATATGATGACTCTCCCTGGAAATGAAATATGGCATCGTACACGACCAGTCAAAAGCTTCTGAACAGTAACATTTGTAATGTTTTTAAAGAAGACTCTTCTGCTCAGCAAGCCTGCA